CCCCCCCCCCCCCCCCCCCGTTCATCCCATCTTCTCTCCCCTACCGCACCGATTCCCCTCCTTCACCCCCGCGCGCGCGAAAAGAGCACGCCGGTGAAGCCGCTCGTGTCGGCCGTCGCGCACGTGCTGACTCTCGTCGGGAGCCTCTCCGGCGGCGGGCTCGCGGGGGGCGCGCGGGCCCTCGAGCGGCACCCGGCGCTCGGCAGCCTCCTGAGGGCCCTGTGCATCCGGATCCCGGAGTCGTCGGTGCGGCGGTCGGCGTGCTCGGTGCTGCACCGCGCCTCCGCCTGGCAGGCGCTTGGGCGGGAACCTAGCTGCTGCAGCGGGGGGGGTGTTGGTGCTGGTGCTGGTGCTGCTGGTGCCGTAGGGAGAGTGGTTGCATCGAGAAATGGCGGCGGTGAAGTAGCAGCAGCGTCGTCGACGGCTAGACTCGGCAAGGATGGGCCGGAGACGAGGAACAACGAGTTGGCACGCGTGTTGCTGGCCTCTCTCCGGGCCGATCTGGCGCGGGTGCAGGCGGTGCCCTTTGCCCGCAGCGCCGGCCCCGGTGCCGCCGTGAGGGTCGGCTTGTCTCCCGTGCGCCGGGCGAGGGGCGACGTCACGGCGACGGATGGTTGTGGGGTCGGAGGGTCGGCGCCCATCGTCGTGCCCCGTCTGCATCTCGTCGAGGTCACCGCGTTTGTCGCCGGGCTGGTGCACGTGATGCTCGAGAACGCCTCCTTGTCTTCCTTTCCGCCGCCGGCGGTGCCGCCGCGACAGCCGCGGCCGGCGGCAGGCCTGCCACAGCAGCAAGAGCTCTCGACGAACAGACAAACCGCGAGACATCCGCAGCCGCAGCCGCAGCCGCCGCCATTGCCCGCGCGGCCCAGCGTATTGCCGGCCGACCGGGACGAGACTGGTACGAGCAACGATGCGGCAAGATTGGTCGCGAGCGTTGCCACCGCGGCCGGCGGCGTGTCCCGCGGCGCTGACACCGCGTCCGTCAACGGAGAGAGCAACGAGGGGGAACGGGAGCGGGCCTCGACTGCCGCGGAGTGGCTCCTGGAGGAGGCGGCGAGGCGGCTTGCCGCTCACGAGTTCACCGAGACATTCGAGTGAGTTACGGTTGCGACTATTTAGAGCGCGGCACAGCTGCCGCTGCTACTGCTGCTGCTGCTGCTGCTGCTGCTGCTGCTGCTGCTCTTGTTCTGTTGTAGCATAGGCGCCTGGCAAACCAACGTGAGCGTTAGAAGCCCCGGTGTGTGTCCGGTTGCGCACCGCGTCACTTACACTCTGGAGAGCGTGTGGTGGCACCTAGCTATGTAGCTAGGCCTTTGGTGCCATCTGCTATTGTTCAGTGTTTACCAGCACGGTGCTGGCTGGCAGCACAAGCCCGCACCAGCAGCACCAGCAGCAAGAGCAGTTAGTGGGTTAGTGGCGCCTTCGCCGGGCGTCATTTTTTTTCGTTTTTTGTTTACCGGTCCTTTACCGGTCCGCCTTACAAAGAAAAATAATGTTCCACCACAACAATGTTCTGCCACTGCCTCTGCTGTTGCTCTTCCGCATTAACAACGAACAACAATGTTACGTTACATCACCGCTACGTCTGCTTGCTGCTCTTCCCCGGCGACAAAACAAAAAAAAGGTCGGACGCGCCGGACCACGTGCTCATCACCCTCCTCCACGCGCTGACGGTGGCGGTGTCGGGCTCCCCCCGCCGGAAACGCCTCGCGGAGACGCTCTTCTCTCGCCTGTCTTCTTCCTCTTCCTCTTCCTCTTCCTCCTCCTCCCCCGGTTCTTGCTCTTCCTGGGCCGCCGCGGGTGTTGCCGCTAGCGCCACTGGCGTTGCCCATGTCCCCCGCCCGGGACTGATACGCTTCTTGTACGAGAGGTGCTTGTTCCCGCCCGCCTCCCGAGAGCCGCCGCCGCCGCCGCCGCCACCGGCCGGAGGGAACGGCAGGCCGGTGGTGGCGGCGGCATCGGCGGCGGCGGCATCGGCGGCGGCGGCATCGGCCGCAGCAGCAGCCGTGGCGGAGAGCTCGCTGGGTCCCCGGTGCAAGAAGCGGGAGTCGAGGCGGGCCGCATTCGCGCTGCTGTCGGCGCTGTGCCGGGGCAACGAGGCGCACCTCCGGCAGGCCTTCGTGCTCCTCGGCGGCCGAGACCTCGTGACGAAGGGCTTCTTGGACTCGGACATGGACAGCGGTAACCTCGGCAGCGAGGACGGGTCGGCGTCGGATAGCAGCGTCGTGGCCGTCGCCGACGGGAGTCGTGGAGAGAGCCACGGTGTAGCCACAGCAGTGGGGGGTGGGGGAGAGGAGGCTACTGCTGCTGCTGCTGCTGCTGCTGCTGCAGCGGCGGCGGCGGTGGTACCGGTGCCGGTGCCGCCGTCGACCCCCGTCGTTACCCTTGAGGATGCTTCCGGCGGTGCGGGTGTGAGGTCCGGGGAGCCGTGGGATTACGACCCCACCAGCGTGCTCAAGGAGTCCGGGCAGCACGTCGGTCTGCAGAACCAGGTGCGTGCTTGTCGGCTGTGCGCGCGCGGCCAAGGGCATGGTATGTGTCGTTGGCGCGCTCTCCGTCCGACATTCCCGGAATCGATGAATCAATGGGTAGTGAACCACAGGAAGAGGCGGAGTATCTATGTGACCGCCGGCGATTATGGTACAATGTGCGTCAAACGTGTACTTCGTGACACGAACGGTGTGTAGACTGGCGCCAGAGTAGATAAGACGAACACGCGCGCGCACACACACACACGCACGGCGCAGGCATCACTATCCTTCTTTTCCACGTACAGTACCATGTACGCACACACGTCATGCGATCCAACAACCGTAGACCCCCTCTCTCCCCCTCCCGCGTGTTTCAGGGAGCCACGTGCTACATGAACTCCTTGTTGCAGCAGCTCTACCACGTGCAAGACTTCTCGCTGCAGTTGCTCGGCCTGGTCCCTGACCGACGCGCGGGGGGGGGCGAGAGCAACCATCCCCTCCAAGAACAAGACGAGGTCCTCCTGCAACTCCAGGTACAGCAGTGCATACATTGTACGGCGGTCGTCCTTGTAACTTTAAGGACACCTCGCCGCCGTGAGGACACCATGTTTTCTTCTGCAGCATGGTGCCTCGCAGAAAAGATTGAAGTAATTGGAGGCTGTGTGTAGAACATGGTCCTAGAGACACTCCACCCCCGCTTTTAGGGACGTTTTGTTCAAAGAAATATAATCACACGAGTGCCGTTAAGAAAGCGGACTGTTTGTGCTTGCATGCGTACCGCATGCGTTCGGGCTGGTAGAGCAGATGGTGAATGACAAGGCCGCTGGCACTTGCTTGGCTGGTTAGTCTTACATCGTTCCTCTTAGTGGGCATATATCGTACAGTACGCACACCGCGCCGTGTATGATGCCTATTACCACCCCCCCTTCTCAGCGATCCTCCAGGGCGATATCCAGTAGTGCCTCTTGGGAAAAAGAGGGGGTGATGTTTAGCAGCGTGCGCCAAAGTACGTGATTTGTGTAAGGTTATTTTGGTCGTCGAAGTGTATTTGAAAAGCTTGCGCAACCAGAATCGCCCGCGGGTAATTTTCTCCGGACTCTTGACGAGGGAGGCGTGCGTGACTTTGGGGGCCACGGGTGGTGGCAGGCGTCGCGCGCAGAAGACACCGGGTCAATGTCTTCGACGACACTATCGGCCGGGTTTCATCCCCTAACCGTAGGCAGGCAATGATGACTACTCCACCAACGCCCTCCCACCACCATCCGCCCTCTCGACGCTCGCTACACCTTCCTCGAACCTTTGTGGGTGTTTCTTTCTTGTCAGGTCCTGTTTGCATCCTTGCGAATTTCTCAACGCAAGTTCTACGACACGAAGCCGTTCTGCGCAGTGTTCATGGTAAGTTGGTTCGTTCGAGAGCGGGATGCCGTATTGCGGAGTAGGTAGCTCCAACGACATGGTCTGCTGTGTCCTGTCGCCCCGCTCCTGCTATTTTAGCGAATGTTGGCCATAAAACAAAAAGGGCGCTTGCTAGATAGCTACAGCGCCCGTGTTGTCGATTACGCCGGTTTGTAGTTTGTCTCGCGGTGCTCTCTGTCTCTCTGCCGCTTTCATTTTTGTTTTTTGTTGTACGGGACCCCTTCCGGAGGCGTCGACGACCAACGCGCTTGTCCGACCCCCAGTTTCGTGACGTCATTCAAGAACTCCGCGGCGTCCCCTAAAACTATCAACCCCCACGCACACCCCCCCGGGTGTGTGCTTCCTTCCCTCAGGACTACGACGGCCAGCCTCTGCGCCACGCGGAGCAGAAGGACGTTAACGAGTTCTGCACGCACTTGCTGCACAAGCTGGAGGGAAGCAGCAAGCAGGCCGGCTCGCTGATCGACAAGGTCTTCGGCGGGACTCTGGCGTACCAAGTTATTTCGAGGTGTGCCTTCTTTTCCTTCGTCGGCCACTAGCAGCGGCAATAGCAGCAGTAGCAGCAGCAGCACCACCACCACCAACAACAACAACAACAACAACAACAACAACAACAACAACAACAACAACAGTAGAAGTTGTTCTCGCTAGGCTATGTGCCACCGAGATGACTCGGCTGGGAGTCTGTCGCAACTTCTCTCTCGTCATTTTCAGCGTCTTTGTTTTTTTTTTTCGTCCTCTCGTCCTCCGTATATAGGTGTCTACAAAGACCAGACGAGTCGTACCCATCCCCCCGCGCCAGGGCACACAGTGGTTCCAACCCCCACCCTTGCCCCAAACGGTATGGTACTGTATACTGTTGTCGTTTGTTTTTCCTCACGTCTCCCCCTCCTCATGCCGTGGCGCAACGTGCACATCGGTTGATAAAATATCCGTCCAGGGACTGCGAGCATACGTCGGAGCGGACAGAGCCTTTCATCGTTCTTACGGCAGAGGTTCAGGTAAAACCAGACCCGTTTTTTGCCCTTTTTATTGTGTGAAAACGCCAGCGTACGGTTCTTCTCGCAAAGGTGACCCGTGAGCGGTTGTTGTTGCTGTGCATGGTTTTGTCCTCGTCCCTGATGGAAGCGCCACCGCCTCTGCATGCGTTGTTTGTCTCCAAATGTTAGCCAGGGGCAGGTATAATACGTAAATAGCATGGGTTCTCTGAAATGCGGCTACGAGGTCCCTGTCAGCAAGCTCTTCTTCAGCGCAACAAGTTATCTTCCCCGCACAGCTGTGTGTCGTGCGGTAGGCGCGCGTGTGTGCCACCTATTAGCTTGGTGTGCGTGCCGCATGAACCCGAATCTGCCCGGCCAACCTCACCTCTCGCGCCTCGTCTCCTGTCATTTTTTGCCTCGCTCTGCGTGTCTCTTTTTAGTCGTTTACTCTCTGTGTGTGTCTTTCTCACACAGTCTCTGATGTTCTGTGTGTTTGCCCTGTGTCCCTCTGTCTGTCTGTCTGTCTCGCTCTAGGATAAGGAATCGTTGGAAGGAAGCCTGCAGCTGCTTGTGGCCGGTGAAATGCTAACGGTGAGTGCTATATATGCGCGCGTATGGAGGATGGCGGGATGTCCGACAGGGGAACAAAATCGCCGCGGACCATATTTTTTCTTGGGTGGCTATCGTCTCGATTCGACGATACTCAAGTGAGGGGGTGGGGGTGGGGGTGGTGGTGATTGTGTGCTCCGAGGAAGAACTCGACCGCCGATCGTGCGCAAGTACCCGCCCACCCCACCCGCCTATGTACACACGAAACGTAAAACACGATTTTCATGAGATGCTTTTTTTTTTTTTTCTCTTGCCTGTGTTGTTTTGTTCCGCATGACTTGTTTCTTTTCTGTTGCTGATAAAAAGGGGGACAATTGCTACCTGTGCGAGAAGTGCGGGCAGCGCGTGACCGCGCAGCGCCGGTGCGCCATCAAGCAGCTGCCCTCGACTCTCATTGTGCACCTCAAGCGCTTCGAGTTCGACCTGAGCACCATGCGCCGGCACAAGCTGAACCACCGCTGCTCGTTCCCGATGGAGCTGGACATGGCTCCCTGGACGCTAGAGGTGCGGCCGTTTTGGGTCGTGTGTGTATGTGTGCGTGCTTCTAAAAAATGTGACTGCATACAGATTAGTTTTGTTTTTTTTTGTTTTTGTTGAGGTTCGCTGGGCTGTTCGAGTCGAAAACACGTCAGCTGTGTCAGCTGTTCGAGCCTGGGCAACAAAACCGCTGGCAGTGGCAAGTCAGCTGTAGATTGGGGATTGGTCCTGCTGCTACCTGCTTTAATTTTCATCTTGCATGACCCCCATGATGACGCCGCTGTGCTGTCATGGGCCCACTCCGGAAGGATCACTCGTGCAAGATGTACGTACCAATCGCAGAAGATATACTACCCGTTTGAGATATCAGTACATGCCACAGTATTTGAAGTCTTTGAGTGAGTGGGTTTCTCCAGTTATTATGTAGCATCGAGCGCGCTGACCGGCTACAATAGTATGAACAGGCATAGTCAGCGTGTCATGTCTTTGTGTTTGGTTTGGTGTACATGCATTCCGCCCGTCACTTTTGGCCGCGTGTGGTCCTTTAATTTTCTTTTTTGCCGGTAGCAGCTCAACCCTCCCGTACGCTCTCTCACCTCTCTCTTAGCTAAACAGAAAAAGTAGGCTGCTCTGCATGCCATCCTCTTTCGATAAGAGCCAGAAAGGACCCGGAAATCTTGGTTCAGTGTGCTCACAAACAATTTTAGCTCCGTTCAACTCCACGTCGCGTTTCCGCCCTTCAGTGGTTGTGGCGCTCTTGTGATGCCAGCGTCTACGAATAGCTGCACAAAACGACAGGCCCTACAGGGGATGTCTGTGCGTGTGGGGACTATTTTTCGTCCCGCCCCGTTGCGGTATTGTCGGTGCTGACCCCCCCCCCCCTGCCCTCGCTATCAAGGCGCTTCCTCCTAATCGAAACCCGCCCGCCCACCTCGCCCTTCTTCTGCCCGGACATTTTTTTTTTTTTCTGTCAACCAGAATATTCAACGACAGCACGGTGGTGGGCGGCTGTGGGGGGGTTCGGAAGGTAGAGGTACCGCGGAGGCCGCCGCAGCAGCTGCAGCAGCGGCTGCTTCTGAGGCGGTGACTAGCAGTAGCGCGCCGCCGACAGCAGCCGGGGGGAACGTGGGACCCGGCTTCTTCTCTGGTGACGGCGGGGCAAGCCAGGATTCTATAGCGGCGGTAGATTCAACGGCAGCCGTCGGAGCCGCCTCTCCGTCCAACGCCGCCGCCGCTGCTGCCGCCGCCGCTGGTGTAGAGGGCGGGGACGGCGGCAGCGGCGGCGGGGAGACAGAGGAGAAGGAGGAGGAAGGCAAGGAGGCGGAAGCGCCTGTTGCCGCCGCTAGCGGCGGCGGCGGCGGGGGCGGGGGCGACGGTGACGGCAGCGAGGGTCCGAGGTCGCCCCCTCCAGTCGACCGCAAGCCGCTGTGGCATCCCGAAGGAGGTGTTGAAGCGGGGACGGCGGGGGGCGAGGGCGTTGATGGCGACGGGCGGCCCAGTTCTTCGTCCTTGCCATATGCGGCCGGTGCTCGAGAGGGAAGCGAGGCATCCGGGGCCGGCGGGGGCGGCGGTTCTTCAACGAGACGGGCGGAAACGCTGTCGGAGAGGACCGAGTACAGGCTGAAGGGCATCGTGGTGAGGACGGGCGGCCCGTGTTGTCGCGACAAGTAGGTCTTGCTGTGGTTTTGGTATTCTGGGAGGGAGAGGGCATCGTTCATCCTTTTCGCCTCAGGCTTGTGTGTGCGTGTTTTTTTTTTTTTTTTGTGGACAGTGGGACCGGCGATGTTTGTTTCCCGCGTGGTCTGCAAAAGGAGGCTGGCGAGGGGGCATTGGCGTCGTTGAAACCCGGATGTTCTTTTTTGTATATAAATTTGTGGTTTCCTTGATGCTCAAGTTGTGGTGCTGATTTGAACAAGAGAAGTGTGGCGTATCTCGGCAAGGGATAGATGTTTTCTTTTCAAGACTTTTTTTTGTAGAGCTTCGCCTCGGACACGTCGGCCAGAAGGCGTCCTCTCTCCTTCTCTCTGATATGTGCCGTGGTGGTTCTTGTCGAGCAGACACCGGCCGTTGGTGGAGTCCTAAACCACAAGCTGCTGTTCAGCAGAAGACGAAACAATTTGTTCTTCTCTAGGAGGAGGCTGGTGGTGGCACCCTGTACTGCCGCCGCATCCGTTGCACACGCCGCCGCCTCGCACCCCCCCTTCCCTCGTGAAAATAGCCGCGATGCGCAACGAACAAGAAACACTCACGCGCGCGCGCACACACACACACTTGCTGCGCTCGCCTGAGAGGTATATTTCATTGTAACACATTTTCGCCATGCCGCCCTTTCTCTCCTCCGGTGCCTCCTGCTGCTGCTGCTGTTGCGGTGGCTGCGGTGTGTGTGCGTGTCATGGTCGCCTCCGTCCTTCGCGGGTCGAGCCAGGCGCACCAAGGGACGGCGGACCACGGGCACTACTACAGCCTCATCCGGGCGGGCGGCGACAGGTGGCTGGAGTTCAACGACCGCCGGGTGACTCCGTACGACCCGGCCAACATCCCCAGGGACTGCTTCGGCGGGGCCTTGACGCCGCAGGAGGTACTTTTTATTGTTGCTGCTGTTGTTGGTGTTGGTGGTGTTGGTGTTTTTCAAGTGGCGGCAGCCGTGGTGGTGGTGGTGGTGCTGCTGCTGTTGCCGCCGTTGTTTTTGGTGTCGTGGACAGGTCGTCGGTTGTTTCTAATAGTGGGAAGAGCTAGTATGTACCATCGTCTATGAATGATCTTGGCCGGGATGTGTGTTGTCTAGGGCGGGATGCAAGGGGTGTGTGTTACGTGGAATGTGGTAAGAACTTCCTCTCGAGAGGTCCAGGTTGTCTGGAGCTTTGGCATGACGGCCGCACGGTGCGCTTTTAGATGTTCGAATGTATTTGGAAAAGGCCAGAGTTAAGCAGATCCAATACCATGAACGTCAAGTCCCCCCAGTTATGCGGTGCTTTCTCGCTCTGTCTCTCCTCCTCCCTTGGTCCACATCTCCCGTTTTGCGGCTCCTCTTGTGCTTGTGCCTTGGATGTCCAGTTTGTGCATGAAACGGCGACCTGATCCCCCCCCCACCCCCCACCCCCTGCGTCCCACCTCCCGACCCTTTTATTGCGCTGCTGGTTCTTATGCTTCGAAAATACGTTAAAACACACACACACACACACACAACTCTGTATCGGACAAGCAGGGCAGGGCTTTGGACGCCTCTGCCGCCGGCGGTGGCGGCGGCAGCCTCCACGAGACCAGCGCCTACCTCCTCC